TATTGATTTATCAGAAGGTGCTCGAGAGTAACTATGGAATTATAAACTTTATCATGCTACACAAGCAACTACATGAGATACATGAGATACAAGATACATTCGTATCTATTTATATACGAAATGGCATTAAATGCCACAAAGCAAATGGTTGGAAATTTCCTCAAATTGTAATAAAGATGTCTTTATTCTGCTCGACTGCTCGAATGTATTATAATCTTTGTTGCATTTTCGTTTGCATATTTTTTTGATATAATTTACCAGTGTTCAATTTAATAACTGACTTAACAAACAGCATTAAATCGATTAAGTCAATTTGATATCTGAATTTATTTGTTGCCTGATAAATGCTTGGCTGTGGGGGGTTCTCGATTCAGTTCCATAATTGCCTTTAATTTGTTTGATTTAACGAGGACATTTATTTGATTTGAGAATCAATAGTGAAGCATAATTCGTTAAAATGTTTTAATTACTTTTAAAATTCTTTATTAATCGATCATTTCCATTGTGCTCAGTACATTTTCGTTAGCTGGATTGTTTAATATAGTGGATTATGTGGGTTTTCGATCATTTTTACGATTAATTTCGATAATTGAGTAGATTTTCGAAAGCTGAAACTATTTTTTTGAGGCTATTGAATACATTTCTGAAAGCGTAGTAATTCGATAACTGGAACGTTTAATTTGTGGAATTGAGTAGATTTTTGATCTCAAGAACGATTAATTGCAGCTTTTGAATAAATTTTCGATTACTGTATCGATTAAAATCGATAATTTAGTTTTTTCGGAAATTTAATAGTTTCCCGTTGCAGAAACGTTGGAAGCACATCATTTGGTGGCTAATCAAGAACTAATAACCAGAACGGAACCATTCCTAACAACTGATACGAACAGAAACCATTCCTGTTGCAAATGGAACAGTGTAAAAGCTCTTATTTGTTTAATGATTCAATTGAATACCTCATAGAATATTTAAGTGTAAGTGTGGGTAATCCCCCCTTCTTCTGGTAACCCACAAATTTAGATAACTTAAGAAAGTCCGTCGCTGAGTACTCCAATGCGATACACATCTCAAAAAGCACAACTCTTTTGACCTCTGCGGCTGGGGGAGAGAGAACACATCAGACATTCAAAAGTTGTTGAAAGCGAAGCATTTATTCAACTAGCAGTCTGCAGATTGTTATCAAAATTCTCCTTGTGCGCCTTCTAGTAGCCCAAAAATGGAAATGAAAAATGGAAAAATGTTTGGTTAAAACAAAAAAAAAACACAGAGAATAAACTCTGAGCAATAAAAACTTATTCGTCGTAGATGTGAGTCGGAGATGGTAGACCACCAATTTTTATTTATTTTCATAAATATGTATCTTCCGTTTTTCGTTCCAAAGAAACAATAGAAGCAATGGCCTCCCGCTCCTCGGTTTGAGCGTATTTCCTGGAGTCTCCTCATGTTAAAGAAAATCAATTGAATGCTTGACTAAACGAAAGATATTGCTTGGCTCTGGCATTTATTTTCTTCAATTTCCTTTGAATTTTTCAGCTGTCCTTGTTATTCTTTAGAGCTGTCTGTCGCTTGATCCACAGCACAAAAATGAAAAGAAATGAATTTAACTGAGATTCATTTGTGAAACTTATTAAAAGTCGCTTCAGCAGTAAGCACCCAACATTATCCCGCATCTTCATCATCATCAGCAGCAGCAGCAACATCGTCGGCCCTGGGATCCAGTACATTCCTGCCATTCCAATTCCAATGGCAACAGCACAATCACAATTTCCATTGACATTGCCATTACACAATTGCAATTCCTCCACAATTGTAAAATGCAACAATTTTTAATGCGTCTTCCTGCAACTTTTATTTCGAGTTTGAGCTTAATGCAGAAACTTTCGCCGAGCGAATGGCAATGACAAGACGTCTCCGTCCCGTCCGTCCGGGGCAGGACAACCCTCGCATCCTGTGGGTAGATTTTGCCACTTCTTAATGCTCGTTACATTGTGAAAAATTGTTATTGCATACAGTACTCTGATCTGCATCGAGTTTAAAGATTTCTGTGCAATAAAATGGCGTTCAGAGAATGTCCAAAGGAATCCCTGGCATACCTTTGGCGTCCCAGAAAAACTCCCTCTATCTCTCCCTCTCTCTCTGGTATTTTAGCGATTTTGAGTTATAGTCGACTTTGGTAGGGCTTTGTCTGCTTATTTTTACCATCAGTTCCATCAGTTTCCAATGGAAACTCCAGGTAAACCCTGATCCGGCATTAGCTTTAAAGATTTTTGCACCTTTTTAAACCGACAGAAGCTGCCCGAGAAGAATGCTCCCTAGAATTCTTGGGAGCCCAGGCAAAAAACCATCTCTGGTATTTCAGCAATTTCCAGAGCAGAGCTGGGCAACAAACAGTCGACGCTCTGGCAGGGGCTTTCCACCTTCTTCGTCTGCTTATTTTTTCCATCATTTTTCTTGGCATTCAAAATGGGAGCGGGTCTGAGGCTGAGGCTGCAGGGCACAGAGTCTTGAGTAAGTCGAGACCGTAACATTTCCTATTTGCACTGCCATTTTCCAACCATCCAACCCTTGCCCCACCCACATCCCATATGTGTGCATCTCCTCACGGGTGCCTGGATAAATGCCTGCGTGTCGCCCCTCGCCATCGTTATCCCACCGTTTTTTTACACCCCTTCAGGCCAACGCCTTTCATGCAAAAATATGCAATTTTATCGGTCTTTACAGATTTCCCATTTATGTAGCGCTCCAGAGAAGGAAAGGGGTTTCTCGGGCATAAAAGGCCCGAAGAAAACGCATGAAAGACATCTTTTCCAATGAAAAAAAATAAATAAAACGAAAAACGTAAATATTTTTTGCATACAGGAAACCTTAAGTTAGCTTCAAAAATCTTTCAACAACTTGTACAGATATAAATCCTCCTCTTCTGCTTGCTAGATGCTGCTACTTTCTGCGAAGAAATGGCATTTTTCAGCTTTTAGTTAATTGAAAAGTGGAAATTTATTTGAAAATCCCAACATTCTGTTTGAGGCCATGACTCACACAGAGAAAGACAGCGACAGGGACAGGGACAGAGAGTGAGAGAGAGACTACAGTCACGCGTAAAGACACGAACAATTTTTTCTACGTTAAAAACGTGCCGACATTTTCGGTTGTCAACAAACACACACACACACACACACACAGGAACACACAGACTGTGAGAGGCACACACTCTTTTCCTTTCAGAAGTAAAGAGGAGATGCCATGATATGGCGGGGAAGGGGGGATGGAAAAATGTTAAGCTGCCCATGGGCATCCGTCTGCTGTGCCGTGCTCTGCTGTGCTCTGCTCTGCTGTGCTGTGCTGTTCCATAGTTAAACTTTAGTTTTATGGCTGCAATTTAGTGAAATGTATGTTTGTTTAGCTCAACTCGTCTCATCTCCAGATGAGTCTGTCTGCTGGGCTTTGGTTTGGTCTGCAGCATTCATTCGTTTATTCTTGCCAATTGTTTAGCCTTATAAAATATACGGATTTAAAGAGCTCTCTGTCTCTCTCTCTCTCTCTCTCTCTGTCTGTTCCGTCCGGAACCCACAAGATATATTGCAGCTTTAGAGAGCACTTTCATCCTGGACAAGTCCTGAACCGAGGCTGAAGTCTGGAACCTACCAGCATAACAACGAAGGAAACATTTGTTAATGAGACCCACAAGAGCTTACGAGAGTCCATAACATTTGTGTTAGGGATAGAGGAGGCTTCTCCTTCCCCTTCCGTTTCCCCCTCCGGATCACTCAACATTTTTCTGTGTGTCTCTCTCTCTCTCTTTTTCTCTATTTTGCGAGGAACAACGCAGCGGCTGAGTACATTAAATTAACACCTAAAAGGTTGACAGATTTACACATTTTTATCTTAACCCAAATAAAACCTCTTCACCTCATTTTGTCCATGGCAGTGGCAGGGCGTGGGATCTCCCATTAGGGATTAATATTGTAATGTGTGGAAAAAGGTTATGGAAAGGCTTTTTGTATGGATATGAAAATGCAAATATGTATGTGAATATTAATTCTAGAACAGCTTCCATTACTCCAAAATATGTACTTCGACAAGAGGCCACAGGTGTCGCGAGGCCCGAGGCTCGGTCCCTGTCGATGCAGTGATCGCTTATAGCTCCCGAGAATGCAAAAACAATATACAGCAATTCCCAAAGTCCTTCTCCATCTACTATACCATTTTTTGGGATGTGATAAGGAATATATTCAAAAAGATCCCCAACCGAATTGAAATACTAAAACTAGTTCACAGCTACCCCAATACTAGGCTCTTAGTCTTAGCTGCAATTTTCTGGTACAAACTTGATCATAATAATGTTGAAAATCTCACACCATCTTTCCCTAATTGCCGCACTCTTTAAAAATAGTTTAAATCGATCCAACGCCTCAGTCCTGTATTTGCACCTTTCATAAGAAGACACCTGAACTAGTTCACAGCGATCCAACACGTCCATCATCATCTTGTGCACCCCGCGCAAAGGCCCTGGGAGCTTCAGTGGCAGCACTGGTGCTGAACCAGCAGCAGGAGGTGAGGAGGTCAAACGATGGCAAAGGAAAACGCTTTGCACCTGCACCTGCATCACTAGCATCATCCCCAGTCGCAGTCCCCCAGAACACAGCCCCCCTCCATATCCACTACTACCACAAAACGTGTCCTGTCTTCAGGTGGCGGCAGACATAAAGTGGGCGCCAAGCAAGGCCCCATTGACCAAGGCTATTTAAGGATGCCACGCTCTGATGCGTTGCACAGTTAAGACCCGAAGCTGACGGCGTAAAGGTCTGCACAGCAATCAGCAATCTCATAAAAAGAATACAGACAGCACACAGAGGACCCAGAGCACACATATCTATATCCAGACTCTATCTCCTCTCTCCTTCTCTCTCTCTCTCTCAATTGCAGGTCATTTTAGAAGCTAAAGTTAATGTTGAAAATTTGCTTTCTCACATTTCCAGATACTTCCGGACACAGCAGCAGCAGCAGCAGCAAGTCGACGGCGACGGCGACGGAGACGGGCAGCAGCAGGCACTGAAATTGCATTTCTAATAGAGGAGCAGAGGCCAACACGTTCAGTGTATAATATTTGAAATCAAAGCATTAGGGTCTAACCATGTCAGCGGTGTACGTGAATCACAAGCTCAACATGCGCACAACTGCTGTCAAAATGAAGCGAACGCAGCCATGGATGTCCTGCATGTCCTGGATGTCGTGGATGTCGCACAAGCGGCTTCTCTCCACCAGCCACAGCCACAGTCTCAGTCCCAGTCCCAGACTCCATCCAAGTCCCCAACAGGAAGCGGGCATGGCCAATTGATTTTGACGGCAACGAGGACGAAGACTAGGAGGACTACGAGGACTTCGAGGACTAGGACTAGGAGCAAACTAAGACAAACTAAGATAATTCAATCGCGTTTTTTACATATTTATGGTTACTTTTTCTTCGGTTCCTTGATGAGTTATATTAAAACTATTTGCGCATCAATGGTGCAGCAAATGGCAGCGGAAGCGGATAAAGAAACGGAAGTGGAAGTGGCAGTGGCATTGCCAGCAGCCAAAGCAAAAAGGAAGCCAGTAACGGAAACGGAAACAGCAACGGGAATGGGTGTGGGAATGGGAACGGGAACGGATGCCCGCATCGTGGCAACGGGAATTTGCATTATAAGACTGATAACATTAAAAAGATTTCTAGAGATTTCCACAACCGACAAACACAATCAAAAGCATCAGCAGCAGCAGCAGCAGCAGCAGCAGCATCAGCACCAGCCATGGCAATCAGCAGCGTCAGCAATGTCACCAACGTCAGTAGAAGCGTCAGCTGTTGGAGGAGGAGGAGGAGAAGCAGATCCAGTCCAAAATAGAAGACACTCACATCCACATACACCCTCGCACTCCCATATACGACATCCACAGGCGTGTTGGCGGCACCAGCTGACACCAGGCATACTGCTTATGCTCCTTTTGCTCAGCAGCCTCTGGCCGGACTGCTGTGACTGCCTGCACGGCGGCGGCAATACGGTGAAGACCAAATACGGCCTGCTGCGTGGGATTGTGGTGCGCTCCACGCCGCTGGTGGAGGCATTTCTCGGCATACCCTATGCCTCGGCGCCTGTGGGCAGTCTCAGGTGAGTCAAAATCGAGTTGTTTGTGTGTGTGTGTGCTCCGGCTCCGGCTCAGGCATGTTGCACAAGATTACGTTTTCCGGGTCGTGGATTGTGGCGTGGTTGAAGTGAAATCTCTTTTCAAATAGAGACAACATCGTGAAACACGGTACGAGTTGCCTTTAAGTGGTAGAACATTTCCAGGAAAGGTGTACAAACATTTTTTTTTAATTTTTTGCATATAAATAGACTATGGTCTGGTAACATTGAAGGTGACTTAATCATTGATTTTTCTTTTGTTCGTAGAATGGTTACAAATTGAGAAGTAAATTTTGCCTTAGCTACATAAATTCTTTGACCTATAGCTTAGATTTAATCTCTTCTGTAAGTGTTCTTTGTAATAATAATAATTCCTGATCGGTCGTTGTCGTGTACCGGCGAAGTCGAGGCAGTTTATGGCGCTCTCACGATCCCATCTTTATGGTAGAAGGGCACGCAATCTGAACGCCACATGGGGGTCGTCTCCAGGCTCTTTTGCCTCGCTCAGACGAAACTTTTTTCACACAGAGCAGCAGAAGTTTAGCCAAAGCAATTTTAATAATTATTCTCATGAAATATGTGTGTGGATGGCTGCTGTTGCCGGGGGTCCTAGCACTTTTTACACCCACCTAACGCTTGCCTGCAAGTGAGGACTTTACGGATCTCGGCCTCTGGCCTGGCCCTAGGTCTAGCACTGGCACTGGCACTGGCTCTGGCTCTGGCCCGGGCGCCACCTCGGTCGCGCAAATCCCAAAGCTTTGAGGATTTAAAGTTCCATGGGGACACAGGATACGAAGGAGCACACGGCGACCGCTCTGGCTCGTAATGAAGCCCAAGTGCTACTTGGAATTAATCTACAACCTTATTCCTACGTACACGTATACGTAACAATTAGAAAAAAACTTTTCATTATTCGGTTAGTTTTCTGTGGAAAGATTTCAAAACCGGAAGAAGAAAACTGCACGATTTGCTTTGTTATTCCCCAGTACGAATAAGCGAATGGTTTACCCAATTAATAATGAAGCAGTTGACAGGTCCTGGAAGCAGCAGCAGTTCTTCCACCAAGGACCTCTCCATGAGACACGACACACAAAAAGTTCGATAAGCCATTTCGAGCAGTTGATGCCATTGAACGGCGCAAACGAGAACGAGAACGAGAACTCTCGAACAAGAACTCTCGAACGAGAGAACTCAGACCAAACTGAAGTTTTGTGGGGGATATTACAAAAGTTTCCCGCCCCATTCCCATGCCTCCCCGTTACTTGGGCACTTTCACACTTGCACACGGCACTCACACGCTCAGACATGTACAGTACAGGACACAGACATGTACATGAAGCAGGAGCCTGAAGTCAGGAGCCTGGTTTCGAAGGAGCCACACCGAAAGCAAAAGCAAAAACCTTTTGTGTGACATGCATGAACAACAAGTGTGTTTGATGAAGCGATTGGATGAAGTACTTAAAGGGCCCTTCATCGCCTCCTTTCGCTCGCTCGCTCCATTGATGTTTGCTTAGCCACAATTCCTGAAAATTGTTCTTTAATTACTTCCGTGTGGTAGGAATGTGACGCCAGCCCCACCGGGGTAGATGGTAAATGGTAGATGGAGAGTGAAATGAAGTCGTTTATGAATGCGGTTCATTATCATGCAGCAACAGATGCCAGAAATCGGCAAACAGAACTTAATGAAATGCCAGGGCACCTTGTGGGAAGCCCAGACGGCCCACGCGGCATGTGTTGCACGACGGAGAGTATGGAGTGGTATTTTCTTTTCTCCGATAAAACGTGGTATTTGACGAACCGTCAATACATGGCTGGCTGGATAGCAGGCGAGAGCTTACAATATTAATCAAGCCAAGGGGGACAAACGCATCTGTCGCCAAAGTTTATAATCAAAAATTCACAAAAAGTTAATAAAAATAAATGGGGAGAAGTCAAGCTTAGGAGACCCCTAGACCCTGACGCATTGTTTTATATACATAGTTTTTATGTACTAAATGTATGTACATATATGATTATAATGGGGGGGTGTGTATATTCTATTAAAGATGTCCATTAGATTAAATAGATATAATACAACACACTATATATAAATGTAGATATATTAAAGTACAAACTCTTACCTCATTGATCTTCCCGATGATTCCAGAATATTTGTTTTCTACGGGGGTTCTTCCCTCTCTCCGAAAGAAAATTATTATCATATCTAGAATACATATTCGCCTTTAGAGTCTTTCCGTGCAGCCTGGAAGCAAAAATATTTACACAAAAATTGAATTTAATTGAAAGCTTTTAATGTTTTAGATAAAATTGTGTATGTAGTCAAGCAAGCATGAATATTTATGTTTTTAGCAGCGCATACACGTAGTTTTTTTTTTTTTTGGTCAAAATACAGAGTGAAAAACGTGCCAAGTCGAATTTGTACACATGTATATGTGGAAGTTAAAAAACTACGATATACGAATACACACACAATAAAACGATTGCTTTTAACGCTCGAAAAAGTAGCGAAAACAAAAAAATTTTTATATTCGTTTAAAAATAGTTTAAAGTGAAACTTTTGCGAGGGCTTTTACCCCACAAAAAAAGTATTAATTTTTACTGTGGTGCATGTCGAACGGGTTACAGATGTGCGGGGCCCAAAACTAGGAACGTGAAACACAAACACACACACACCAACAGCCATCACGTACACGTATGGCTGAAGAATTCTGCTTGCCACAAAATTGGGAGGCGAGCTTTTTGTTTCTGCGGTCCATTGTCTGTCATTTGCCAAGGGGGCGGGAAGAGAGAGATAAACCGAGAGGGAGAGACAAAGGAGGCGGGAAAGCCACAAAAGCAAAAAAGAAACAATCAAAACGTTTCGCGTCAATTATCGCGTGTCATAAAATCAACAACAAAGCAGCATTTACCGCTTATCGCTCCGCCAGCCCTGGTGCAATCATCTGTCCCCCCTCCTGGCTCATCCGCTCCACACGGACCCTCACGCTGATGATGGTTGATCGATGGATTTCAGCGCAAAACAATAAAATTGCACAATTAATCAAAGGCAGTTTGCACTTTTGATTGATGGGCGGGTACTTAGTTTCTGTGTTTTACGAGCCAAACGAATCCTTTTCCTTTAATCGCCACCACACACCCCCGTACGCCCACATATTTAGCACACACGACCCCGAAGACCACATGAAAACGTGATGCCTCACAAGTGGCCGAAAATTGAATATTTACTTATGCGCGCCCTCTTTTTGCCACAGATTTATGCCTCCCATAACACCATCCACTTGGAAAACGGTTCGCAATGCGGATCGATTCTCGCCCGTCTGTCCACAGAACGTGCCCATTCCACCCAACGGGCCGGAGGCGCTGCTGGAGGTGCCGCGCGCCCGTCTGGCCCAATTGCGGCGTCTGTTGCCGCTGCTCAAGAACCAATCGGAAGACTGCTTATACCTTAATATCTATGTGCCCTATGAGACGCGCCGCTCGAAACGTAAGTGCCAGGCAAAGTTTATACGTTTTTTCCGGCAAATTTAAGTGAAACAAAGTGATAAAATGTACTTACCGCTCTCCTGTTTCTTTTTCTCTGGCGGACGCGTGTGTTAACATTTTGCTAAAAAAAAAAACAAAAACGAAAAGGGGAAAACGCTGTTACTTGTGCATGAACATGGCGGCGATTAACATTTGGGGTTACTTTACTTGTTGCAAATATTTAATCCGGTGTTTCTGGTCGTTACTGCATTGGTGTCGTGGCTCTCAATTCCGTAGTGCATTGCAGTTTAATATAATTATCAACAACTGCAAGCGCTGTGGACTTGGCAGCTCCGATAGCCGCAAACACAGCTGCAGCAGCGATAGTGATAGCGATGAACCCAATTAGTCAATTATCGCATTAATCATCCTGTTTCCCCCCATCCCTAAAGGCAATGTGGACGCTGATGTTGAGAGTGCAGAAACAACGGCAACAAAACTCTCTACTGTGGTGTTCATACATGGCGAATCGTTCGACTGGAACTCTGGCAATCCGTACGATGGCTCCGAGCTGGCGGCCCACGGCAATGTCATCGTTGTGACAATCAATTTCCGCCTGGGGATCTTTGGTTTCCTGAAGACCGGCGGCAAGGAGAGCGCCCAAGGTAACTTTGGTCTGATGGATCTGGTGGCAGGCCTGCACTGGCTCAAGGAGAATCTTCCGGCATTTGGGGGTGATCCGCAAAGCATTACGCTGCTCGGCTATGGCACGGGTGCCGTGTTGGCCAACATATTGGTTGTCTCTCCAGTGTCGAGTGGTAAGATCTGATCAGAGATCAGAAAAAAGTCTTTCCTCAACCTTTAACCTTTCATTTTGTAGATCTAATACAGCGCACAGTTCTGGTCAGTGGTTCCGCCTTGTCGCCCTGGGCCATACAAAAGAATCCACTCTTCGTGAAGCGGCGCGTGGCAGAGCAGACGGGTTGCCATGGCGATATGCTGTACGATGATCTGGCGCCCTGTTTGCGAACCAAAAGCGTGGCCGAACTGCTGGCCGTCAAGGTGGATCATCCACGGTATGTGAGAGATGGTTATTTTAAGCGTATCCAACCCAAATGTAATCTCTTTCATTTCAGATTCCTGGTCGGCTTCGCTCCATTTGTGGATGGAACTGTTATATCGCCCGTTGCCAATCCCTTGGGCAGCACCACGTTGCCCCTGGGGTCAGCTATTGTTAGGTAAAGCGATTCGAAACGCATCTAAGATCATATTTTAATTATTTTTCTGGTAAACAGTACTTCAGGAATTGAATATGCAAACTTTCCGAAACGAGACCTCATATTCTGCCTTAGTTCTGTGGAATCCTACCTGGATTTGAGTGCCCAAGACCTAGAGTTTGGCTTTAATGAGACGCGTCGTGATCGCATTCTACGCACTTTTGTGCGCAATAACTTTCATTATCATTTGAATGAAATATTTGCCGTCTTGAAGGTGGGTTCAATTAATTTATAATTAAAATACCTGATTTTAAATCGTTTTTTATACCATAGAATGAGTACACCGACTGGGAGAAAGCCATACGAAATCCTTTGAGCTCCCGCGATGCCACCCTTCAGTTCCTCAGCGATGGCCATACGGCTTCGCCTCTGATTAAGCTCGGCTACATGCACAGCCTCCGCGGGGGTCGCACTTATTTCCTGCACTTTAAGCACAAAACTGTCGAAGAGGAATACCCACAGGTGGGTATTCAACTGGGAAAACAATCAATGAAGTCTATATTTACCGTTTACTTACCGAATCCTTAGAGAACCGGCTCTGTTCGTGGCGAAGATGTGCCTTTTTGGTTAGGTCTGCCCATATCCCCGCTCTTTCCACACAACTACACAACTCAGGAGCGTCAAATCGGTCGCCTAATGCTGCGATATCTGTCCAACTTTGCCAAGACAGGGTAAACGAAAACATCTCTTAAATGAAGTCTTCCTCTAACTCTCGTATTCGACAGCAATCCGAACCAATCCACTGAGAAAACAGCCTTGGGTAATTCAGAAGATGCTACCTTGCATCAGCAGAAGAAACGCTCGGCAGCTGTGGTCCCTAATCCACATCTCAGCGATGCGATGACTTTGGCGGTGCTCTACAATCAGCGACGCAGCAATGCCATGCATGAGAAACGCTCCTATATACGACGCCGTTTGCGGAGTAATAATGATGGTGCCTTCACCCAGCTGGGGCTGGCCAGTGAGCGGGATGTGGGCAGCTACGAGGGTGATGATCTTCCCTTTTGGGACGCCTACGATGTGGTCAACCAGCTGTATGTGGAGTTGGGTAAGCTATCACGGCCATTTAACAGAAAATCTTTTGGTTTTATGATAACTATTCCCTTTGCAGGCAACAAAGCAAACATTCAGAGCCATTATCGCGGCCATAAGCTGTCCATGTGGTTGAACCTCATCCCTCAACTACATCGCCATTTCAATATCAATGACCAGTCCATGAGACATCATCAATTCCAGGATGATATGAACAATAGGGATCTGTATGAAGGTTAGCAATCCACTCCAAAGGAAGCTTCGTTCCAGGCTATAGATATTCACTTGATTTATCTTTTTAGGCGTTGTGCGTCCACAGTTGCAGACGAAACCAGCAGAAGATGATAACATCATCATTATACAGAAGAGTAGAACGACCACGACAACGCCGCCACCGCCAAAGACACCTAGTGCAAATGTAACGCAAGCCTTGAATCCCATGATCAGCGGCACAGCTACCACCACAGGTTAATCTTTATTTTATAATTAAAAAATGGCAATCTGCTGACATTGAATCTCTTACAGAATGTGGCATCGATGGAGCCATGTCCGTCTCCGAATTGACCACAACTCAAGCGCCGAAAGACAATCGAACTGGAGGACATACTCGGGTGGAGACCCAAAAGGACCTGGCCACCGCTTCGACGGGCATCATTGGCAATCTGGAGCTACTGCGGCGGCTGAGCGGCAAACAGTTCCAAAGCTACACCACAGCATTGATTGCTACAGTGGCCGTGGGTTGCTTTTTGCTCATCCTCAATGTCCTCATCTTTGCGGGGATCTATCATCAGCGCGAGAAGCGTGCGCGGGATGCGAAAACCAAGGAGGAGCTGCAGGAAAGCGATACCAGCAAAAGTTCCAGCATGCTCAAGCTGAATGCTTTAATTGGGGGTGGTGGAGGAGGACCTGGTGGTTGTGGATCTGGTGATCACGCAGATGCGTACTCTCTCAGCGGCACTGTGGTGGACAGCAAGGGCGGTGTGGGTGTTGTCTTTGGGGAATACAGCTGCTACGATGAGAAGACCAAGCAGCTGAAGGAGGAGAAGCTCATTGTGGAGCTGCCACCATCGTCGTCGGTGTCGGTTTCTGGGCAAACGTCTCTCATGATGGACAGCTGGGGCGCCTGCTCCACCAGCACACTCGATCTGCTGAAGACCAAACCAGGCATCGGAATGGCGGATAGCCACCTGGAGATGGTCTCCTACAATGCCCTTCCCACGTTAATGGAGTCCACGTCGGCGCTGAGCAGCAAGCGCGGATCCTTTGTGGAGAACAGCCTGCAGTTCAACAGTCCGCAGCAGTTCGACTATGCAGTCCAGTCATCAGATCAGATGTCTTTCAAGGCTATCGAAGAAGCCGTCAAGGCGGCGGCCATCCAAGACTCTGAGATCATGCGAGATGATGACATACCCGAACCGCCGCCCCCACCGCGATCTTTTCTTGCTGCCCAACAGCAACAACAACAACAGCAGCAGCAACAACAGGGTATACTGCGGCAGACGGGGACTGCGGGCAGTGCGACCACGGGTCCAGGGAGCAGCGGGAGCAAGAAACGTGTACATATTCAGGAAATCTCTGTCTAGCATGCATTACCCTCCAACTCTTACTACGACTAATCACAATGTAAGCCCCTCATTTCATCTCGTTTCCTTCTACTCATTTGAGGATCAGTTCTTGATTTATTCTCTCTCTAATTTAAAACACACACACAACACAAACTGCCCCTCCTCTCTCTCTCTCTGCATTAGAGCCTTTTTCTGTATGTGCTCTGTTTTGTGAGAAGATGATGCAAAAAATCGATGTAACTGTATGTATTATGTGTATGTATGTATGTTTGTACATTATGTAAATGTTCCTGGTAGTCCGTGGGAATGTGAGAAATATAAGTGGAAAAATTCAAGTGTAGGAATCATTTCGTCGAAAGTGTTATATTGTATCATTGTGTGTATAGTTTTTATGTTCCTTTCGATCGTACGTACGATTAGGATTCACGTATTATATTGTATTTGCTTGTTATTTAATAATTAGCGAAATCAAAATCGGAAAATATATATATGTAACTGGCTTTTAATTATTTATAATACCATAAACTACAACTATGATACGCATACTGTATTTAAATGTATTGTAAAATATTGACTCTATTTGTATGAAATACATATGTAATACAAAAATCACCAGCAGCTGAGAAGGCTGCTTAAGAGAATGATCAAGAATTGCACAAAAAACAACATACCGAACCCCGCGCACCGCTGATATACTGCATAAGATCGGAGTAAGGCAGCATTCAAACGTAAGACAGGCAATCATAGCCATGTTGTGCTGATCAGAACTCATCCACTAGAGCCACTCATGTAGAAGCCCAAATTATTAAAAACCAGTGCTTTCAGATACAGGTAGCAGCGGGGGCTTTTTAAAATCAGTAACTGGCCTTCGATAGACGTCTTACAACTAATGGGGTACAGATAACCAGCAATATGTTTGTAAAAAACCAACAGAAGTGTTTTTATAGTGGCACATAGTTCAAGGAGGCACATTAACCGATCATTCCAAGGATCCATTCATTTCATATGTGACATATGACGTTGGTCTTTAAACTGCCTGTTTAACGCTTTGTCTTTTGCAGGCAACTGCGTTTATTTTGTAAAAAAAAATCGTCTGGACTTTGGGTGTTAATCAAATTAACCTGATTTCACATTGTTTTTTGGACTGAACGGTTAATCCAGCATAGAGGGGGATAGATGAGGCACTAGTTACATTATATGTAGTACGAGTACTACTTCTTAATTTGTACTAATCAGAGATTGTGAAAAACACCTGGGTATGAGGGATTTTAAAGCTATATTGGCTCTGCTTTTATTACTTTTTTCGCTTTCTTTGTCAGCTTATCGTCCCTTTCAGCTGCTTTACGTTTTGTCGTTTGTTTTTTCTTAGGTGAGGGCGCCTCCATACCGGGCTCCATTTTAATTAATTCTATTAGTGCGTCGAGCTCCAATTCGGGTTTAACCTCCTCCGGCTCTTGGCTAACCTGCTCCGGCTCTGGGCTGCCAAACTTGATGGATTGGTTCTGCGGTTATAAAACAGTACGAATTACATTACATTTTCCAATTTCTCGCAAAGAGTAACATACCACCGGCTCTTGGCCCTCCTCCAGCAATAGTTCTCCCTCGATGTAGGGCATCACATTGCTCATGTTGAAGCTTTTGATGCGAAAATTAATGTCCTGATCCATGGTAATGCCCTCCCGGGTGTTCTTATTGTTGGTGAAGCGAATTATGGTGTTGAATACCCTGTAGATGATGGCGCTGACCTGGTGCTTGGATATGTGCCGCACAACTCCACTCAGGACGGCCCCCTCAACGGGCTGGAAGACATAGAAGTCCGCGTTGATAAGCAGGTGCAAGCTGGGATCATCCGCTCGCAAGGCTGCCGTCTGGCCCAGGACCTTGATTTTCTTAATGCCCAACACAATGGCAGATAGGTTGGCATCGTATATTCCCACTTTTGTGCGGATGAGCAGCTCGTGGAGCGCATGCTTGAAACTAGCCATGCCGTACGGTCCCATCGACAGGTGCATGTCCGTGTTGACGCAATTCACGCATGACCCGGGATTGTTGGCGTACGTCTCCAACTCCTGGGTTGAAAATTTTATATATTTCTGTAATATTCGCGACATTTTATAAAATGTAATTATTTCTCCGAGACGAACCACATGTTCTTTGCCAGCGGATAATCGATGAATCGAATATCGATGGTTTTTCGTGCCGATAGGATGCAGCGATGTTCGTCCATCCCTAGTGGAAACATGCTGTATTAAAGGTGGAAAAAACAGAAAAATCACGACAAAGAAAATAAGAAAGATTAAGATAACGATTTTATACAGCTCTCAAGATGGGAGTACCAGCATTCTTTCGGTGGCTAAGCCGAAAATACGCGAGTGTGATAATTGATTGCAATGAGAACAAGCAGGTGGATCCGGATACCGGTAAAAATATCTACGAAGACGCCACCCTCCCTAATCCGAATGGAGTAGAGTTTGATAACCTGTACTTGGACATGAACGGTATCATACACCCGTGCACGCATCCGGAGGACAAGCCCGCGCCCAAGAACGAGGACGAGATGATGGTGGCCATATTCGATTGCATCGATCGACTTTTTGGAATTGTACGGCCGCGAAAGGTGCTCTACATGGCCATTGATGGAGTGGCGCCCAGGGCCAAGATGAACCAGCAGCGGTCGCGACGCTTTCGTGCGGCCAAGGAAACCACCGAGAAGCGGATGGAGATAGCACGAATCCGCGAGGAGTTGCTGACCCGCGGCTGCAAGCTGCCGCCCGAGAAGGAGAAGGGTGAGCACTTCGATTCCAATTGCATTACGCCCGGCACTCCGTTCATGGACAGGCTGAGCAAGTGCCTCCACTACTACGTCCACGATCGACAGAACAATAACCCGGCATGGAAGGGCATCAAAGTCATCCTTTCGGATGCCAATGTGCCCGGCGAGGGCGAGCACAAGATCATGGACTACATACGGAAGCAGCGCGCCCAACCCGACCACGATCCCAACACCCAGCATGTACTCTGCGGCGCCGATGCGGATCTGATCATGCTGGGCCTGGCGACCCACGAGCCGAACTTCACCATCATCCGGGAGGAGTTCCTGCCGAACAAGCCCAGGCCTTGCGATATTTGCAATCAATTTGGCCACGAAATGGACAAGTGCGTAGGACTCAGTGCCGTTGGATCGTCGGGGGCCAACTTCAAGCCCGATGTGGCAATTGGAGCCGAGGTGAAGTTCATATTCGTGCGTTTGAGCGTGCTCAGGGAGTACCTGAAGCAGACGCTCGAGATGCCAAATCTACCATTCGAATATGACTTTGAGCGGACCCTCGATGACTGGGTGTTCATGTGCTTCTTTGTGGGCAACGATTTCCTTCCCCATCTGCCCAGTCTGGAGATACGCGAGGGAGCCGTTGATCGTCTGGTGGAGCTCTACAAGAAATGCGTCTACAAGACAAAGGGCTATCTGACCGACTCTGGGGACGTGAATCTCGATCGAGTGCAGCTGATAATGACGGATCTGGGCAATGCCGAGGATCAAATATTCAAGAGTCGCCAGAGGCGCGAGCAGCAGTTTAAGGCCCGTGAGAAACAGAGGCAGAGGCAGGACCACAGCGCTTTGGATCAGTCTGTGTTTGGGCCAACGGCCGTTGGCGGTGGGCGCAACGGGCAGCCGTCGAGTATTGCCAATTACAAGCAGGAAGCTGCTGCCCTGAGAACAGGACAAAAGCGCCCCAACGAGGACACAAAGGACGAGGAGGAGGACAACGATGAGGTGCGCTTGTGGGAGGATGGCTTCAAGAGTCGCTACTACGAGTCCAAGTTCGATGTGGCCCCTGAGAACCATTCGTTCCGCTATGCAGTGGCCCTGCAATACGTGCGAGGTCTGTGCTGGGTCTTGAAGTACTACTACCAGGGGTGTGCCTCCTGGAACTGGTACTTCCCCTATCACTATGCTCCCTTTGCATCGGATTTTGTCAACATACAGGGCCTGTCGACGGCCTTTGAGAAGGGAACAAAACCCTTCAATCCCCTCGAGCAGTTGATGGGCGTCTTCCCGGCGGCCAGTAGTTCGCATGTGCCCGAACCCTGGGCCGAACTAATGTCCAGTCCCGACTCTCCCATCATTGACTTTTACCCCGAGGACTTTAAGATCGATCTGAATGGCAAGAAGTTCGCCTGGCAGGGCGTCGCCCTATTGCCCTTTGTCGATGAGAAGCGTCTCTTCAAGGCCCTCGTCCCGTACTACACCCAGTTGACCGGCGCAGAGGTGAAGCGCAACAAGCAGGGCCACAATTTCCTCTACATCAGCAACTCCAGTCCGCACTACAAGAAGGTGAAGAAGATTACCGAGAGCACCGACAGCGAGGATCAGTGCAATGCCATCTCGTTCAATGGCATGCGTGGCACCATTCTCCGTTCAGACATAGACACTGCCATCGACGGCTGCCTGCCGTCGCCGATTGCCGGCCTACCGGACATCACCGGGAATACTATTGTGACGACGTTCTTCATAGATCCCGAGTACGATGATGATTATATTTTCGAGGCCAAGCGTCTGCCCGATGCCGTTGATCCGCCGCAGGTGCTGCCTTCCGAAGGCCGGAAGACTGGACCCGTCATCGGTTTTAATAGCCATCAGACGAGGGCCTATGTAGCACCTGGTGGACATCGTATGCTGAATGCTGGCATTCGTAATGGCCAGGGAGACAGGGGACAGCAGGGCTACAATCAGGGTGGCGGTGGGGGCGGCTATGGGCAGGGACAAGGACAAGGCTATCAGAACAATAGCCGAAACTACAATTACAACTACAACAATAATTACAACCAGCAGCACCAGGGGGGAGGTGGTGGCTATCAGAGTCAGGGTCAGGGTAGCTATCAGAACCGCCAGCAGTACGGTGGTGGCCAGCAGCAGCAGCAGTACCAGAACCAGAGGTACACACAGGACGGTGGACAGCAGCAGCAGCAGGGCCAAAGGAGTTACAACAACTACAATGGTCAGCAGAGGAACTACCAGCAAGGTGGGGGTGGCAATAGGCAGCAGCAGCAGAATCAAAACTATAGAAGATTTTAAACGCACACACACACAGAACAATTAATGCACTGCTCTTACAAATAGAAGTACTATCAAACATTTTAATAAAGCAATAATCTACCACAGTTAACTCCCAGGAACATTCATTGTTACCTTAGTGCCTCAATATATATTGTATATCATGGTTGATATCTTTTGATCTGTACAGCAGAAGATATCAACAGATTTTGCACACACGAGCCGCCTGCCTTTATTAATGCCAGTGCCTCTAGGGTATCAATATTAGTAGTACACTCATCAAATTCAACTTCAAATTGTAGAACCCCGCCTATATTATGCAGTACAATACCACACCATTAATAGACAGTCCTCCTAGGGGTACTTTGTATCATCTTACCATATACTATATACAATTTTAACAAATACTTCAATACAAAAAGTCTTTAAATTAAGAATAAACATGTAAACGAGGATGTCAACCTTTCTACTTTTTTATTTTTTTTGCATTTCAAAACATTTCACAAGATATGATAGATTGGTAGATAGGTCCTCTATCTATCAAACACAATTTTACCAAAATTGTATAATTAGGAATAATAAACCAATTCATTTCAAATACAAAACATCGAAAACATTTCACGATTTATAATTGATAGATTGATATCTATCTATCAGATCTGCTATATACAATTTTACCAAAACTTCAACTTGAAAAAAAATTGTCTTTAAATTAGGAAAAAAAGAAATCGATTGATTTCCGGATGTAATATTTTTTTTGTTGTATTTTGTAATTTCTGTTCTTAATCTTATCAAGACACAACCAATCATTTGTTTAGCTTATTTCAAGACGTCCTTCTCTTTATCCGGCATACTTTTACTCAAATTTCGCAATAAAATAAGACATTTATTGAATAGCCATCAGGCTATGTATTTCGATCGTATGGAATGTGATAAATGTTATAATTTCGATTCCCGCGATTCCATTTAACAATAAATAGTTTAATTACGAAAACAGCTCTCATTTTTTTTTTTTACAGAAGGTACTTCTTAGATGCTACAACTCGCTTAGTTGCTACGATTGGTGACGCGGTGGGGGTATTTTTTTGAATTTTCTTTTATGTATAAAGATTTTCTCCGATTAAGAAAGTTTATACTCAGCTGCAAAAAATGATAAATATATAGACATATTATTACTAATGCCTCGATATATATGTAGATGAGGATGTGGGGGAGCTTAAACTTTAAAATATAAAAGATATACGAGTTTTTAGTACTACATAATCGAGAGTAGGAGTAGAGTTTAAAAACTAAACACAATGTGAGCTTTGTTCACGTTCGATGCGGAAGAGTTTGGCTGTCTGTAGGTAGTTTTGTATATATGTTATCAGAGGTTTGGTTTGGTTTCGAGTGAGTTCTGTCTCTCGCTAATCAAACATTGGTGATAACATTCTTGTTACGATCGCCCAGGCTATATCGGCCATGGGTGTTGAAGGGTGTGCGCGTACGTCGCGTGAACGAGCGGAGGCATCGCTGACCCTCCACACTCTCTGGATTATTTGTCACAGCGAAGAGGTTAACTGGGTTGCACGATTAAACAGAACGAATAAATAACCAGAAATCGTATAGAAAGGACCTGCATCGTTTCACTCACCTTTCGCCTCGAGCTGTTTTATCGTTTTCTTTGCATCCCTTAGCTTGTTCATAAGTATCTCGTTCTTGCGCCTCTCCATGGTCAGCTCCAGGCCGAGTTGCAGCTTGCTCTTGGAGTCAACGGCGCTCAGAATTCTACAATTAAATCTATTTGAAAAATACTTTGATAGGGCTTTGTTTAACAAACTTACGGATGACTGAAAATGGACTGTGATGTGGGCCTCTGATCCGGATCGGGATGCATCATTAGGGCTATCAGCTCATTGAAATCCTTGCTCAGTGTCGACAGGTAGGGCACCTCACCGTTTCGTAGCTTGTGCCAGTCGGGGCCATTCTTGGGTAGTGGTCCACCGCCTGCCACCTCGAACAGTGTGATGCCAAGCGAAAATATGTCCGCCCTAACCAGATCCGAATAGTCATCTTTGAGCAGCTCCTTGGGCAAGTAGCGGCAGTCGCCCTCCTCCACATGCGGCTCCTTGACGGACGTCACATGGCCCAGATCACCGATTTTGTATATGCGATCACCGATGTCCGTATGGCGTAGCTCCTCATAGACACTGTCCATGCCATCATCATCTTTGGTTTGCTGCGGCTGCGCCTCCACCAGCTTGTGGGCAGTGGGATTCATCGTAGAGAAGATATTCTCGGGCTTCAGGTCCATGTGGACCAAATCATTTGAGTGTATATAGCGCAGGCCCTCGATCACGTGCATTAGGACAATCTTCAGTTCGGCCTCGCCCAAGAAATGATCCTGGATGCGGGCATGTAGACTGCCGCCGTCGCAGAACTCGTTCTGTATCAACATATGATCATCCTCCGCCCAGGCGGAATAATAACGCACTACATTATCGTGCTTGCCCAAAACTGCATGGGCCCAGACCTCATTCAGGGCACGTTTTCTAGAAGAGAATCCACGGATTAGGCGATGATCAGTGGGCATAAAACGCGCTTACTTACTCAAAGGAACTGCCTGCCACTGGCTTCTTACTCTTTTTGATGGCATAGATGCATCCATCGAGCCGATTCACGCACTGGAAGACAACACCGAACTCCCCCACACCAATCACGCGAACCTGCATGAATTCTCGCTTGAAGCGGCTGATGTTCGTGTCGTGCAGGGCCAGGCGCTTGGGGGCCTGGTGTATCTCGCGCATCGGATCGCCAACGTCCTCGGGGCCCTCATCATCACAGGTATCGCTGAGTAAATACTTTTGAATAGCATTCACGTTGAGATTCTCGCGACCCACTTGGGTGCGACACCGTTTCTTGTTGTGGGCCAGGAGACCTGAAACAAAAACATCATTCATAAATTTATTCACAGGCCGATGACTCTCAATGAGAACTCACTGTCTGGTGTGAAGGGATTCACATTGGCGGTGTCCTGGGGCTGCATGCTGCGGTTGTGCAGTGGCAAGCAGCGCGGGCGCTCCGACAAGCGGAAGAGCTCCTCTCTGCGAGAGGCATTTACTACCGCTGCCGCAGCGGACAGATGATTGCTGCACTGCGACTTCTGCAGGATGGTCTTCGGTGTGGCAGGAGTGCTGAACAATCGTAGGGCACGAACCTTTTGGCATGGTGGTGACATAGAAACGTCTGCAGCCACCTTCTTCTTGTGCTGCGGACTCAGGCTCTCCGGCTGGTCCTTGTCAAAGTCATCGTCGGCGAAGCGCAGCTTGCGCGGATTAAACACTTGCGGCGACGGCGTACCCGATCGCAATTCGACACTCGAGTCGAGATGCTCCAGCGAAGTGACGCTCATTTCGTGCTCCGACTGGCGAAATGCCATTGTAGTTTCCGTCTTTTGGCCTCCGCGCGCAATTTAACAATGTGGCTTTACAAATTTAAGAACAATATCTTATAGGGGAAAAGGGGGACGACTTTTCATAAAAAAATGAAAACAAACACAATACAGAATTAAACTGGGAATGCGATGCGATTAATGCGGCTACAGGGTTGCTCTGGCAAAAAAGTTATCGGAACGCTATAGTTCTGTTGTCGATATATCTATTTAATATATTGGTTATGATAAAATTTACGTTTCGAGAAAATTTTTTCACATGATGCCTTTAGAAACTGCCAATGGATTAGTATTGTCCGAGCTAATTATATACAAAAAAATGGATTAAATATACCATTTTATACTTGATAGTGCAAAACAAAAAGGAACTACTATTGAAGTGAACGAACTAAAAATGTTCACCATGATCACCTTACATGCATGTAGTTCCAAGTAACATCTGTATAGTACGCGATAGTATCGATAACATCTTTAATTTTTTAATTAACTTTTAAAGAAAGGCATCAGCTCGACTTCATGGACAAAATGGACGTAATTGATTGGAAATGGAAATGGACCAGCCGGACTCGCCGCCGGAATGTTTTGATGTGCAAACAAAGAGGCCTGAAGACTTTTCTGTAGTTGCGAATGATGAAGACGAAGAGGCTGAAAGATTTCGACAACGAGCGAGGTCTGTGGATCATTGAGTATCAGGATAACATTGCAATGACATCAGAAACGCAGCGGAAGGTGGGACTGTTGCTCCACTCAGAGAGCATGTCCTTTGGCCGATGATGCACAGAATGACAAAATAATACCGTCTTCTGCAGCTGATCAGCGTTGAAGGCCAGCTAAGCCTCGCTTCCTCAAGCGCAAGCCATCTGTGCAAACTGATATTGCTGAAAACAAAATATTTTTTACTCTAATCCTTTGGTTGAAATCATACAGGGTGATTGTCATATTAATGCCATATTAATAAATAAAGAAATTCGTGAGAGATCAGAATTAGCAAATCTAACGATCTTTCTTGAATAATACACAAATGCATTAGTTGAACTGTAAAAAATGAATAAGCAATTATTTTTGCCCAATATATATGTATGATCTTTGCCAAGATCGCTTCTCTATACGAATCGCTCTGAGCTGTTTTAAGCTGGCTTGTTTAAGCTTGGCTCGGCTCGGCTGAGCTGAAAGATAATCTGATAGCCATCCGTGTCCATATATTTCTTCTCTAAGCTAGGAAACTATCTCAACGAAATATTGCATATAGTTATATATTATGACTGCCAATCATTTGTCGGAATCGGGATTCTACGAAAAACTTCTTTGTTTTCAAATATTAACACCCCAAAAGTTCCTATTTGTGTAGTTATATGTTTGTATATCGATCGCTGATTTCGGCGAGCTTTTCCAGTTTACAGCTAAGTCAGCACCGTGCCGTTTTGGTTTTTTGTCCGAGTTCTTAAATATGTTTTCAGCTAACCTAAGGCTAATTGTATTAATATTAAACCATTTTCTATGGGTAAAAATGTGACAGCATGTGTTTTTTGGCATTTAATTTATTGATTTGAATAATTTTGTATTTTAGTTTTCAGCGCATTTGCTATATATAGTTCAAACACACATCAAGAATTCATACATATTTTTATTTCTTAAATTCTTAACTATGACATCAATGTATGAACATCGTTTTTTAATTTCGCATTGTAGCAGGTCTTGCAATCATATGAATATTTTAAAGAAAAAAAAACACCATACAAAGTTTGAAAGTTGAAATATCAAGAGTGTATGTATTTGTTGGGGATCGATCGGTAACACATGAATTGAAGAGAATTGACATAATGATGTTATGTTATGGTATGAGGTTGTATTTATATACTGGCGCTTTATTCCCCAGTGAGAAACACACGAATGCGTCGTTCCGCCTCCTACATATTCGAGTATCGTTCCAGGCATCGTCTATATCGTCTGGTTGTCAAATCAGAAGCACAAATCAATTTACATAGCAAACGGTGTGACTAGATCGATGTTCGGTTCGGGTGTCCCTCTTTACGCCGGCTGCCGCCGATCTCCATTTTAAGAATTTATAATTTTGATGTTTTATTTTTGATATTTCAAGCGCTCTTTGTTCTGTGATCTCTGTGTGTGTTTTCTCTTCCAGGTCTTGTCGCGATAGCAAAAAGTACTTACAAATGCGTACTTCCCTTAGACAATAAATTAAAACCCTAAGCTAAGATGGTTTTGGGGGACAACTAAACGGTGTTTGTATGTTGTGTATACTGAGTGAAGAAAGTGTTGTTTTGTTGTTGGAAATTGTTTTGTTTGTTTCTTGTTTCGTTTCGTTTAGTTTTGTTTTGTTTTTCTTTCTTTGTTATATATGTATGTATTGGGGGTGTGGTGTGTGTGAGGGAATGAAGGGGGAGTTTGTTGCCCCTTTCGCGCTGATTCTTGTTTCTTGGCTGCAGCTCTCAGGCCCCACGTACTATTTCTTCTTCTTCTTGAATTTGCGGCCATCGTCTGCATCCGTCTGTCGTCGCTAGTCCCGGGACACGGAGCGCGAGGCCGACGAATCGCCGCGACGGCGTGGTGGTGATCCTCCACGACGCACTGGGGGCGATGCTGAGCGTGATCCTCTATCCCGCTCATCATCATCATCCTCGTAGCGCCGCTTAGGTGGCGGCGGCGATGCGTCCACTGCCCCACTGCCATTGCGCTCATGGTCGCTGTAGCGTGACACCGAACCATTCTCATCGCGTCCATTTGAGCGGCCAGAGCGGCGAGCACCAGCGCCCACAGAGCCAGCGGAGCGACTGCGTGAACGAGTGCCACCAGACTTGGAGCGAGTGCGACGGCGACGGGATGTGCTACGAGATCTGCTGAACGAGTTGCTTCTAGAATGAAACCAAGACCAGGATCTCAATTATTCATGATTTTTCAAATAATAAAAACAGTACAATCCAAACAAGTCCCAAAATAGTCTTAGATACTACACACAAAAAAAATATCAATCCTACTTTGCTCAGAGTTTTATTCGGATGAACTACAACAGATCACAACTGTAAATGTATTTAGAGAGACAGATCTCATGGATAATCGCAAACCACTCAGTGCTTGCCTCCCTTCTTCTTGTAGTGCTTGTGGCCGTGTTTTTTCGAGCCCTTTTTTCCATGCTCCTCCTTCTCCTCGTGGCTGTCACCGTACTTGTGCTCCTTCTTATACTTCTTGTGATCCTCGTCGTGGTGGCCCTTCTTGTAGTGACTGTTATGCTTTTTGTGGCCCTTCTTCTTGCCAGCCTCGTGCTTCTCGCCCTTCTTGTGCTCCCCATGCTCCTCGGCATGGTGTTTGTGCTCTTTGCCGAACTTCTTGTGATGGCCGCCCTTGTGCTCGTCGTCGTAGAACTTCTTCTCCTTGTAATACTCGTCCTTGTTGAACTTCTTGTGGTATTCCATCTCCTTGTGGCCCTTCTTGTGCTTCTTTTTGTGATGGTGCTTGCCCCCCTTCTTGTGGGCCCCATGCTCGTTCTTCTCCCCGTGTTCGTCCTTCTCATCGTAGTGCTTTTTCTTCTTTTCGCCCTTGTCGCCATAATGGTGTTCGTGGTCCTCCTCCTCGTGATGCTTCTTCTCGTCCTCCTCCCACTCCTTGTGCTCCTTGTGGCCGTGGCCACCCTTGTGCTCCTCGTCGCCGTATTTCTTCTTCTCGTACTTTTCTCCACCCTCTTCCTCCTCCTCGGAGGAGGCCTCCTTCTTCTTTGCCGCCGCGTAAGTCAGCAGCAGGCTCAGGACCAACAGAAGCTTCAAATGGCCCCGCATATCGCATGGTATGTTGCCTCTACACTGAACCCACTTCCCAATTGAAGCATTCGCTTTTATACTCTGGCAATTGGGGACCGCAGATTGCCTGCTGATGAATGCTGTGCATGATGCAAGCCCCCTGCTGCCTAACTGCTGACGTAAAAACGTTCTGCTTCATTGGTTGTCAGCGCTACACCGCAACCAATCGCAGCAGCAGCAGCAGACTTCTTGCAACTCTCGGAGGGAGAAAGAGTGGCCTCCAAAATTGGATTCGATTGAAGAATGTAATTTGCTGCAAATGTTGCCACACCAAAAGAATCATAAGGAAGTGGATTTGAGACAAATCAAACTATTCCCTTAGCTTCAGGTTTCATTTACAAATTGTTCTGCAAATTTACACAGAGACGAACGCCTAGACTTCTTTGCTGTGGCCGTACCTGGAACGTAAACTACCTGTGGAATTACAAAATCCACAAGCACTAAAACACTTGTTACAAAATAGACTCTCCAAGCACCATAACATAAAAGAGTTGGTTCAGAAAGATACAAAACATAAGATATAGTCCTGAAATACAAACAGAATATATGTTTTGTGAATATTACATTTTATTGCTAATGTACAACAAATAAACTTTACTCTGGCTGATAATTATATATTACTGTTCTCCTAATGTATAATGAAATGCTACAAGTTAAGAGCCTAAAAACTATCCCCCCTCAAAGAGCCAAGAGTCTTTATTCCTGCTGCTCCTTCTTGGACTTTTTCTTTTTCTTGGCTGGAGTTGGTGCCTCTTCGGGCTCGGGCTCAGGCTTGGGCTCCTCCTCGGGTGCCTCTTCATCCTTTTGCTTCTTCTTCTTCTTTTTCTTCTTCTCGGACTTTAGTTCCGCCTCCTCTTCGGCTGGCTCCTCCTTGACCTCCTTCTTGACTGGTGTGCTCTCCTCTTCTTCGGCCTCCGAGTGTTTGCGTTTCTTCACATTTAATGTGTTATCCGCCTCGGGTTGATACGTGAACACCTCACTGCAAAGTTTCATGAAATAAAAATACATTAATATATACAGACAAATCAGCATCTCGGAGAGATGTCTGGAGAGAGACTGGAACCCAAATTTCACTCAGACAGCCAAGGTTTATCGTCATAGTAGTCAGATATATGCGAAACCTTTTTGATATCATCATAGGAAATGAGTTGCAGCCGCTCTCTCTGTCTCTAGTAATACATACCTCTTGGCTTGATATTTCTCAAACTTGGCCTTGGCCTTGCCCGTGCCAGACAACTTTCGCAGATTGCCCTCCTCCAGTAGGCGAAGACGAGCCTCCAGCTTCACCTTGTGCGCCGCACCGAGCTCAAAGGTCGCCTCCTCACCGAAGGCATCCACGCGGGTGGCCAGCGATGCTTTGGCCGCCAGCGAACGTGACATTTTTCCCTTGTTCTTTTGGCTCGCCTGTCCCACCAGCTGGGCGTGATAGATAAGACCATATTTGGGGGTGTCCTTTTTGGTTTTGAGGGCACGGAAGAGGGCCTTTTCGGCGCCCAGAATTTGTACTGTTGATGAGGGATGCTTGGCCAGGTTGATTAACGAACCGGCATGGGCAATGAGACGGGCACCGACTGTGTCGCCGACCAGCACCGTAAGATTGGGTGCCATGGCCATCATGCGTGCCTTGAGGTAGTCGTACAAATGCGTGCGATAGTCGTTGATGGAGATAATCTCATCGCACAAGCACTGAATGTTCAGGACATCCTCCTCGGAGATCTCAGTGCCCATCGAGATTTCGGCTGCCTCCTTCACCTTCTCCTCAACGTCTTCGGGTAGGATATCGGACAAGTCGGCGGCCGCCATATTGTCCCTGGTGCCCACCAGCTTAATGGTCTTCACAAAGGCAACATTGTCGGTTATGATCTTTCCCAGCTCGGGAAAGTGCCAGCCGTACCATTCCCTGGCCCTCATCATATAGTTGTTCAGCTCCTTGTCCAGATCATCGAGCAGACACTGGGCCTGCACAATCATGGTATCGATTTTGTCGGGCGAAAACTTCAGCTTGTAGCGTGACAGAGAGTGCGCCAGACCCAGGGCCATGGCCGTCATCTCCTTCTTGGGCAGACCGCCCAGCAGACTGTCCGCCTGCTGGCGGATGCAACGCATCAGCTCCTGGACGCCAGTGTTGTACACACACTGCACCGATAGCTTGTCCTTGATGGCTGTTCCCAGTTTGGCATCGGCCACGAGCAAGGGCGACTGCACTTCGTCGATTAGCAACTTTTTCAGCGTTTTCTTGAGGGGCTTGGCTACCTTGCCTTCGACCGCTGCCGTGGCGGCGGCCAGCGCCTCTGTGGTGTCGTTGAATTTCTCAAAATGCTTCAATTTCAGCAATTTGTTCGCCTTCTCCGGAGTCTCGAATTCCAAGTACAGATTATCGACCTGTTCGAGCTTCTTTTCATCCATCAGCTTGAAAATGGCGTAGCCCGCCGGCGTTTCGTAGAGTACAAACATTGTGTCACTTTGTGCTCATTTAGTTTTAATTTTTATTTATGAAAAATTAATAAAACACCCAGACGTCGGCGCAAAACTTAACCTTCTTTTCTGTATGCCGCGTGTAAAAGAAAAATCCAAAATGAAGCGTAAGCACGTGTATTCGAGCGGCGGCCAGGGTTGCCGTACAGTTTGCGCTTAACAGCACCTTTCTGGCCACTTCATCACGCTGCAGACTAATTCACCACGAAGAAACGCACTTGAAGTAAGATCGATGTAGTCAAGCGTCCCGATCATATGATACCCGGTATTTGTTCACTGGTGTTATTAAATAGGTATGACTAAAAATATTAACATGCTAAATTTCACATCTTCGGCCGTATTTCGCCGAACAACACTTATGAATACTTGTATGTACGACTTTTATTAAAACAAACACAAATAAGATATACCCTTGAATTTGCGAATACCCAATACTTTGTGTCGAGCACGTGTACGCTGTTACCAAGCAGCGGCTTGCGCATAAAAGCCACATTTTGTTGAACTTCTGTTCGCGTCTAACAGCACATATTGACATACATTGTAGTGTTATTTAACAGAACGCGCCTAACAGCACAAGCAGTGCTCATTTTCTCCCCACACTCAAAACAATTTAAAAATGTTCTATAGAACATCCTCACGCATACATACACACATAAATATCCCTGTATGTATGCGAAAATATCGCCATGTTTCATGAAAAAAAAATGCAACAATAATGAATGAAATTTTTTACTAACCTGCGTCGCTGTCTTGCTTTACGCTCACGGCAATGGCGGGCAAAATGTCCACGGCCTCCACATTCATAGCACTTATCGTCCCCACGGCCACCAGCGCCACCGCGGTCGCGTCCTCCAGCGCCTCCGCCACCTCCTCCTCCGCCGCCGCCCCCTCCTGCTCCACCGCCAGATCTTGCGTATTTACCAGTGGACAGCTCCACCCGAGCTCGGCGTCCACAAACAGTGCGACCATCTAGACCGCGTACCGCATCCGCTGCATCTCTAGCGCTCTCGAACTCCACGAAGGCGAATCCTGGGGGGTTGCGGGCAATCCAGACGCTGCGCAGACTGCCGTAAGCTCCAAAGACATACTCCAAATCATTTTTACGGGCGTTATTACCCAAATCTCCGACATAAACCTTGCGGTCACTCGGATGCCGCGACATTGTGAATGTAGTTTTTGATTTAGCTTGGGGCTGTTAATGTGGCAGCGGCAGCAGCAGCAGCAGCAGCGGCAGCAGAAAAAATCGATGCGGTACGAAAATGTACTTTACACTGCTCTCACGGAAACACTGTCGGCTAGAAAAACTGGCGGTTGCTTTTCATTACTTTACGCGACTGTTTTTGCCAATTTTTTAGTCAGAGAATTATATTTATTTCTGCACCATTTCAGCATTTACCGGGTAGCGTAGCACAGCAGAAAATAATGGTTATCGATATATTAAATTGCAAACAAATGACAGCTTAGAGATGGGATGGAAGGCAAAATCCCAGAGACGCTATAGTCCGATAAACTATTGCGACTGTACAGTGTGACCATAGGGCGTGCACGAAAACTGCTATCGAGTACATTAAACGTGGCGGTGGCGATTCTATCATAAGTTAGGTTATATCGTATGCATCAAAATCATACAATTATTTATAAGCTAGTTTTTTAAGGAAAAAACACTTAAATTTAGTGAATTTGCAGTGCGAAATCTTTAAAAAACCACAGACGAACACTTGGCACAAACGGTAAGCATGGAAAACAACTCAAATCTACATTTTACATAACAATTACGGTGCTTTAACAAAATGCCTGCCTCTGCCTTGCCTTTCCAAAAAGGTTGAATACTTGACGCAGCTGCCGTTGCTTGGTGTGGTGTGTGTAAATTTTATTTGATTCGACTGTGCACCGCAAGCAATGAGACTAGCAGCTCTTTGTTTTTAAACCAAAGTTCGTGATTTTTAATTGTGCTTATGCTGGCCCCAATGGCTGCAGTTTTTCCGTGCCACTTACAACATTCTTTTTTCGCCCAATAAAGTGGAAAATTTCATATTTTTATACATACATACAAAAAATGCTATGTATAACACCACACCAACACATACACACACGAGTACAAATCGGTCGGTTCGGTCTGTCGGCGGCCATTCGCGACACACACGTACACGCATACATCCGTCCGGCCAACTCATGAACCCACACACATGCATGTGCATAAAGATTGCGGTGCAAAATACAAAAATCATACGAAATTTTTAAAATTGCGTAGTAGAAATCTTAGTTAATTCAACTATAGTTTCTCCTGCCAAAAAACGTAAATCTACAAGCAGTACAAGTGTTGTGTTTTGGTGAATATTGAAAATTGCCGGCATCAATAAATTCAAATACCCAGATTTGCTTTAAAAAAAAGTATTAAAGGCCATGTGAAATTCGCCTGTATCAAGAGCATTTAGACCCAGAAGACATTTCTTAATACATTTCTTTGTTGAAGCATTTTTTCATCAGGCACGTCTTCCATTTTGTTTTTTTTTCGTTGCCGTCGCTGTCGCTGCTGTTGTCTTCTACCGTGGTGAATTTCCCACATTTTTCGTGAGATTCAGTCAGTTCTGCGAGAAGTGCGTGGCTAGAGATAGGTTCCGATTAATTAAAGCCCACAAAGAAGTGATTCTTTTTTATTTTAGAATTAACATTTTATGTGGCTTGCGTTTTGAGGGCATTGCTTCTTGGTACGTTTCTTTTCGCTGTACATTCGCTTTCACGTCGCCACAGAGCGTTGCCACACGTTTGGACTTGTGAGTGGGAAAATTTCCGCGAGACACGAGACAGCTCAGTAAAGAATATATTTCAGTGCTTCAGATACTAGGATTACATGAACTTTCACATTTCGAGATATTGGTAGGGTTGGGTGTTTACATGGCCCATCTGGCAATACCTGGCAAATGGCGCGCAAATGTGGTGGGACCGGACCGGCAGTGTTCTGTTTTCACCTTGGGAGTAAGTTCGTTGTTCTCATTGATAGGCGGTATCTGTGTGGGTGTGTGTGCGAGAGTGAGCGTGTTCGTGTGGGACAGAGACTGAGGCTGGGGATATTGCTACACTAACAACAACGCTCGTGACACAGCGAAAAGAAAACAATACTTTCACGCAGCAGTGTAAAAAAGAGGAAGCAGAAGCAGCAGAAAACAGTTTGTGAACCGCACGAAGAGCAGAGCAAGCGGAGCGTTGCAAACAACCGAACAACTTGTGAACGTGTACAAAAAAAGCAGTTAGACGGCAAAAACACATATGTAGACTCACTCGCTCACAAATACCTTTGCATGAGAATGTATGTGTACCGGCCGGTTGCTGCTGCTGCTGCTGCCTACCTGCGCCTTTCATAATTATCTATGCCTATTTCGGTTGCTCCCTATGCCTACGTGTTGGTGTGTCTGCGTATTTTGTCATCTTCGCTCTTGCCTTCCTCCTTTTCGCACCGAACTTTAGTTTTTAGCCAAGAAAAAAAGAAGTGATTTTGATTAACAATTTCTTTAAATCGTTCTGTATCTTTCCATGTGTACGCCACCACAATCACGACAACGATTCCATCTTGTAGAAAGTTACGTGTAAACGTCGTGGCTTTTGTTTAGTTATTTTGAAGGAGAGAAGAAATTTGGCAACTTTGAAATCAATCCAAAATATAACATAACAGAAACCATAACAGCAACGCAACCAGCAACTATAACAGTGTAAAAAGTAAAGAAAAACAGTGCGAGACCCAAGCGAGAAGACATTTTATTTCTTATACACCCGTGTGAATAAAACAGCAGCAAAATTACGTCAATTATTGAAAACCTACCCGGCGCAATAGCTCACAATCACCAAAACAACATCATGGAAGAGGACGAGAGGGGCAAACTGTTTGTAGGCGGACTATCGTGGGAGACAACGCAGGAGAATCTGTCGCGTTACTTCTGCCGCTTCGGCGACATCATCGATTGTGTCGTTATGAAGAACAACGAGAGCGGCAGGTCGCGTGGCTTCGGTTTCGTCACCTTTGCCGATCCCACCAATGTAAACCATGTGCTGCAGAACGGTCCGCACACGCTCGATGGCCGTACCATCGATCCGAAGCCATGCAACCCACGCACGCTTCAAAAGCCGAAGAAAGGCGGCGGCTACAAGGTGTTCCTCGGCGGTCTCCCATCGAACGTAACGGAAACCGATCTGCGTACCTTTTTTGGTCGGTACGGCAAAGTGACCGAAGTGGTTATCATGTACGATCAGGAGAAGAAGAAATCCCGTGGTTTCGGATTCCTGTCCTTCGAAGAAGAGTCGTCGGTTGAGCATGTGACCAATGAGCGGTACATCAACCTGAACGGCAAGCAGGTATGTTGCCTTACTGGTCCTCAATTCGCACCTACTTTGTCCTTTGTCCTCATTGTGGCCCTATTCTTGTTGCCTCGTTCCACAGGTGGAGATCAAAAAGGCCGAGCCTCGTGACGGATCTGGCGGACAGAACTCGAACAACAGCACGGTTGGTGGTGCCTATGGCAAGATGAACAGCGAGTGCAGCCACTGGGGACCCCATCATGCTCCGATGAACATGATCCAGGGCCAGAACGGTCAGATGGGTGGTCCGCCACTGAATATGCCGATCGGTGCGCCAAACATGATGCCCGGCTATCAAGGCTGGGGCACCTCGCCGCAGCAGCAGGGCTATGGCTATGGCAACAGCGGCCCAGGATCGTACCAGGGCTGGGGCGCACCACCTGGCCCTCAGGGCCCACCACCTCAGTGGTCGAACTATGCTGGACCCCAGCAGACCCAGGGATACGGCGGCTACGATATGTACAACTCGACATCGACGGGCGCTCCATCTGGACCGTCAGGCGGTGGCAGCTGGAATTCGTGGAACATGCCGCCCAATTCGGCTGGACCCACTGGAGCACCAGGGGCTGGGGCGGGCACCGCCACGGACATGTACTCGCGAGCCCAGACCTGGGCTGCGGGCGGTCCTTCAACCACTGGACCTGTGGGCGGTATGCCGCGCACTGGACCCGGCAACTCGGCCTCAAAGTCGGGCTCCGAGTACGACTATGGTGGCTATGGCTCCGGCTATGACTACGACTATAGCAATTACGTTAAGCAGGAGGGGGCATCAAACTATGGTGCCGGCCCTAGGTCAGCGTATGGCAACGACAGCTCCACACAGCCGCCGTACGCAGCCTCTCAGGCTGTTTAAGGCGATATAGGAACATGTTGTCGTGTCGCCGTCGTCGTCGTCGTCGTACTCGTCGTCGGTGAATGATGAAGAAGACAAAAAAGATGGTGGTAATTGTAAGCTAAAGCGTCGTCTGTTCGTTTTTATTTCAGATCAGATCAGTTGTTGAAATTAATATTTAACTCGTGTACAACCCTAATTTAAAGCAAACACAAATTTAACACCAGAGAATAACTAGCGACAAGTCAGATTCATAGATATATGTATATATATATACATATACATGTATGTTCTATAGCAATGAGTATGTAATAATTCATAGGCAACAACAACAACAACAAAAACAACATCAACACTCAACGGAACACACCAAACCATACCATACCACAACATAACACAGCACAGCAACACACAACATTTCTCATGCGCCTCCCCCAGAACTCACACACACCGCGCGTACTGTATATCCTACTGTATCCTAAGCCAACATTTACCTATACCAACCACCATCCAATCCAATACAGAAACCTAGAAGAACTAACAACCAGAGCCCGTAGGTACCGATACACATGGCATTAACAGAATATAGAATTGTGAAGATTTAAACGTAATGATTTACACGTATAAAGTTTAGCTAATTAGATACAAGATCATGGATGAGATGTGTGCGAAATACCAACAAAAGGAAATAAGAACTTATAATTTTATTTAAAACGTAAACAAGTAAAGATCCCTTTATTACTAAAATTAGTAAATACAAATTCGAAATTGTACATTTTAATGCAAAAGCCAGTCGGCCAGCCACCGACTTCGTCGTGTGCCCCACAGCCCATCCTCTGCAAGAGACAGACCATACACAAAATCTCTACCACCAATTGACAGGGCGACAAGGTGTAGTACCAGTGTGGGAGTTTGAGAAGGAATTCAATCCACAAAAACACCATTGATATTCCGAGAACTCCCTGTTTGGTGCTTGCCTTAGCCTTGGGCCATTCTATCTAAAATTGTTTTATTGCTTGGTGGGTGGATAGATGGATAGGCGGATTGGGTCGGAGGTTGGTACGATACGAGAAAGATACGTTACAAAATTAAAAATTTACCATTTAAAGTAAACAAAACAAAAACTAGCTAAAAGTTAAACTACATATATAAAGAAACCTAATTGATAAGCGTATGTCGTCGTTTACATCTAAGCGAAAGTTGAACTTGAAACTAGAATTATATAGTGCGTTGGATTTATTATTTAGTTAAAGAGAAAGTGAAATGCTACCGATACTGAGAAGGCAGGCGGAAAGTTAGCAGAAGTAAAATGCTTAATGGATATGAGATATGAGAAGCGTAAACCACAAAAAATACGAAACACACTCTTAACAAATATACATAAAAACTATATACATACATACTTATATACCATATATATATAACGAGTATATATACAAAAGAAACGAGAAAAAAGAGTAAAAAAAAGAGCAAAAGGAAACGTAAATTTAAACATACAGTTAATGATAATAAAAAGGGAAGCAGGGAGGCAGAGAGGAATAAGGATTGAGGACAAAAGTTACCAGAGATAGGGAAAAACGATGCTTAAGAGTTGCGTTGCACATTTTTTTCAAATTTTCATCGTTTGCCAAGCAGACAAGAACAACAACAACAGCCGCCGGAAGAGAAGAACATCATCTGACGACAACCAGAAGGTGCGAAGGTGTGCGTCACTCTACAAACAACACCACTGAAGAAGAACAACATGCGCGCACATCCCACCACCCACCATTCACTTAAACAACAACTGAAAACCACACTAGCGAGCGAGGCAGAGAGAATGGAAAGAAAGAAGGGAAAGTGAAAGATGAAGAAAAAAAGAAAGAAAGTAAAAAGGAAGAAATAATTGCATACAACAGCAAGCAGAAAAACTTTGATTGATTATATACATAACATATATATATATCTTTAATTACTTATACATATTTACTCTTAACTACTTTGCACGCTCCCTTAGTAGGGAGCGTGCGATGTGTGTGTAAAACAAGATGAAAGCAAAAACTATTTTAATGATTATATGATTGCGATTTTACAATTTATTATTACATACAAACAAAAGAAAGATAGATGGAAAGAAAAACCAACAAAAAGCAAAAGGAGAAACACATATTATATCTAATACATTTACCATACACATATATTATATATATTCTTATATAAATATGAAGTAATTTTTTCTATTAAAATATCATACACTAATTTTTAATTTGTTTATTTACAAGAAAAACAACTTACAATACATACATTTAATTACAATATACAATAACAAATACTTTACTTTATTTTTCGGTGATTTATTGCTTAGTGTTCTTCGTATAATTTTTACATCTTACAAACAAACAAAAACCCACAAACAAATCCTACAGATATAAATTCCTAATTTAATTTCGTTTAAACTACAAATACATATGCTTACATTTTATAAATAATTTTAAATTTTTTTTAAAAACAAAAAAGCAAACAATGCAAAAACAATAAGCAAGTAAACAAGTAAAGTAGAACGTGTGAAATACGTTTCGATTTTTGAAAAAAAAAAAAACCAAAATATTTGAAAAAAAACCAACATTTATCAAATTTGAATCTTTTTCTTTTACTTGGCCGCAGCAGCTTTGTGTGCGTGCGTGTGTGATTGTCTGTAAAGGATTGTGTATCGTTTAATCGATAATGATCAAGAAGAAAAGAAGGGTTATCGTGTGGTCGATCCTGGCTTGGCGGAGGCGGCTGCCTGTCATCGGGCGAGGTTGAGGCGTCGTAAAAGAAGAGTTATGTGCGGAAGGAAGGAAGAATGTGGTGGAGAATGAGAGGAAAACTATGTTTGGCGTTTTTTAATTTCTTTTTCGCAGCAACAAACAACAAAGACTCATTAAAGGAAGCAGTAAAAAGGAGAATAATGAGATGAGGCAGCGCAGAGTCGAAGATTTTGTTGACGAACTTGCAAGCAAAGAAACCTGATGTAATTCTATAAGCTGAAACATTATGATTATTATTCATTATATACTGAGGATAACACACTTACACATGATTTCCATACTCATTATCAAGAAGAATAAGAACATTAGAGTAAAATTAAATCTTAGACCCCAGAAACACGATGGTATTTAAAGGGAAACGATTATTTAGATGACAAAACCACTCACTGACTGTTAATTGTAAAACAATTTCATTTATTCAACCTTTTATTTTCCATTTGAATACAATATAAATCTTTTTTTTCTGTTTTTCATTAATTTAAAAGTAACGACCTATTGAAAAATGAAAACTACATACAATATATGTGCATCGTAAAGGTAAAAAGAAAATAAAATTATATATATATATATGAATACCTACTATATACAACTATATATATACTATATACATATAATTATATATAAACATATAACAAATTAAAGGTAAAATAAATCTAAATATTGTATTAAATGAAGTGTTGCACTTTCAAGCTAAAATCAGATGAAAAAAATTAAGAAAAAGCTATTATTAAGTGTAAATGTTTATCAGCACTCACATACACACAAACACACACACACACACACACTGTTGTAGAAAAAAGTCCAAGCGCAACAGATAGAATCGAATAGTTATGTCCAGACATCCCATCCGGAGAACAATCAAATTGGGAGCACCACCACAGAACAGAAGAAGCAAAGGAACCAAAATGATAGGATTCGTTTTGTTCGTTTTCAGTTTCGTTTTGATGTCATTTGGTGTATATGGTTTTGGTTCTTTTATTATTGTTGGTTTCTTTATCGGAACATGATGTGCAAAGAGGCGGCTCTACTATTGATTTGATTTGATCGTTATGGATCGATAGATTTTTCGTTGTTGCCTTTACTTTTCGATGGGAGTTTTTTTAGTTTTGCGCTTTTCGACGTTTCCAATGCAAATCAGATCAGAGTCAGATCATAAGAACCATGAATGAAACAATAATGTAAGGGTTATATAATTTACATACGAGAACTTACTGATAAGCTAATATACGAATGAAATGATGCGCCAAAATGCAAACCCAAAACCAATGAGGCAAATGCGTTGTGTACATTGTATAGCTCTACGTACGAACATACATACCTACTACTATATACTACATAGGCTCTAGGGTGAGGAGAGGAGAGACGAGACGAGACGAACAAGATACTTATCAGTGCTTTCGGTCTATAGTTCTAACGATTAAGTTCTCTCGAATTTGTTTCCGAATCGGATATTTCGACTGGTACCCCATAGTTAAGCTAAGCGATGAACAAACTGAAAGATCGATCGATCGAACGACGGAGCTAGCAACAAATATATCTTTTTCTAAATATGCTAGAATTTTAAATGTGTTTTGTCTGATACAAATACCACGCTCCCAATATGTCCTGCCCTGCCCTACACAGCCCCAGGCCTTCCTGCAAGTTATTTTTATGTAATGATGAAGTACTCTTAGCCATTAAAACTAGAATGATTTGAAATAAGATCAGATTTAACAGATATCTAAGCTAAATTCCTAAGACAAAACGATTCCACCTAAGACACCTTTTTGTAATGACTAAATTTATATAGGGCAAGATGCGCGAACACGAAAGAAGAACAAAAAAAAAGAACACAAGAACAAGAACAACCAACAACAAAAAATGAGATTAAATAAATGATAAAGAAACTCAATAAGATAAAAGATCAACTAGCATATATACCATCTATATATAGACGAGTATGTGGGTGGCATGTTTTGTATCTGTATTTTGAGCTGTATGATTGATTTTTAAGATTCCTTTCGCATAAATACTCGTATCGTACTGACAGCACTTTCATGGATAAGGGAAGGTCAGATCAGGTCGAAGCTGAATGAAGATTGTTATAGTGCATCAAATTGTTTTTATTGATTAGTTAAACCAAACAACACACACCTACACATCCATTTCTAAGCCCCATACTTTGGTTCTTTCGTTCTTAAGCATAAATTCTAAACGAGGTATGTATGTATATGGTATATGGTAATTTTAAATGTAGCAAATGCAGAGAATAGTGAACCAAAACTAATTTGTATGTAGATGATAATAATAATGATAACTACAAAATAGACAAAAATACGGAAAAAACGCAGAAAAAAAAGAGAAAAACTATGCAAAATAACCGAAACGAAACAAAACGCAAAAAAAACATAAAATAAAAACCAAAATTGAGACTGTTAACAAAATGCAACAAAGTGAAGCAAGCAGTTTAAGGCCGAGAGACCGGAACGGGAGTTGAAAGTAAAATCATACAACAGTTTAAAAACAAAAGCCAGAAAACAAAAACTATAAAACTCGGTACTCGATTGAGACTCAGATGAATAAATAGGCTACCAGCATAAGTTCGTGTAAGGATTATGTTTCTCACACACACACACACACACACACACAAAAAGGATTCTTCTCAAATGATAGTCTTTGTTTCGGATATACTATTCTGTAAAATAGAAGAGGGATTTTCGGTTAATCATATACACATATTTTTCGTTTTGTTTCAATTGTTTTTGATGAGCAGATAAGCAACAAATCATTTAGCATAAAACTGAAAGTTATTAAGATATCAATACACCACAAAAATCAAACGGCTAAGCAGGCTATAAGAATGGAATGGAGGAATAGGAATCCGAACCTAAAAAGCCAAAGGAAGAGAACTTTCGATAAATTTGAATTTTTTTACCAAACGAAAATAACTTAGAAAACTGGAATCTTAAACTGATACTGATATTGAAAATGAAACTGAACAGTTAGTTGTACTTATCATACACACATACTATATGTTGAATGTATGACTAGCCCTAGCCACCCCCCCAAGCCTCCTACGCCTCCTACACCTGCATATACATACATACATACATATACATATATAGGAGCTACTTGTAAAACCAGATTGTAACGATTTTTAGGCATATAAGTGTTGTTGCGACTTGAGAGCTGAAAGGAAAATACAGATTCTCGTAAAACTACGGTTCCAGGCTTTCCATTTGAAACAAGATAAAACGCGGGGGCTTTGGGTTTTTCTTAGACTTTTCTACGTGTACTTTTAAATCAGGATAGAGACAGAGAAACAGAAACAGAGAGAGAGATAGAGAGAAAGCCGGGTGGGTGACAGACAGGGAGATACTTATATAGTAGGAGATTAACATTAACATTCGATTAACACAGCCGTGAACATGGATTAAGGATTAACATTGAGGACAGGATTTAACTTAACTTAACTTACAAAACATAGATACAAGGACATACATGCAGCAGAAGCAGCTAAAGAAATAATAAGGGAAAAAAAACTAAAAAAGAGAGTAAATACGAAGTACATACTACATATAGTGTTGCAAGATTTTAGTTTACGGTAAACTTAAAGAAATTTTTTACAATGTATTTATACATACCTAAATTTAAATTTTAAATTAATTCTTTAATGTAATACGAACACAGTGCCTAAGTAATATCAAAACAAAATGGGAAGAAAAACCAACAAAAACAAAAATGAAATAAGGAAGCATAAGAGAAAACCATACAAAACGAATATAAGCGATGTAAAAACACATTGTTACTAAAGACGAAACGAAAGAAACACTTGAACAATATAATAATTGAACAACTTTTAAATGCAGAACAAAAGACGCCATTTGGAACTACATATAAAAACATACCATAATACAAAGATTTATACAAAGAAACACACGTCACACAAAAGATGTAGAATGAGTAATGAATGAGGAAAAAATGAGGAAGTCAAACCGCCAGAAAAGAAAGAAAGAAAAGTAATCCCAAAACCAAAATTGCATAAATGTATAAATGTAACTCAATGAAACATAGAACGACGAATGCTAATAATGCTAGGAAAATGACAAAGAAATACCACAACAAAATTAATACAACGTACCCCCTACATACGTCTCTCGTACTAGATTTGAGCCTCGAAATTCGCAAAGAACCCATCCCAGCCCAACCCAAGCAAAATCTAAGCAGAATTCATCCAGTCCCAGTCGTCCCTCAAGACCGACCTATCCAATCAATCGATTTAGTTTATCTGATGAGCATGCCACGTACTCAAAATGACATCAATTTGCAACTTCAAACATAATTTTGGTTTGCATATTGGATTGGTTTTCGTTTTGATCAAAAGATCAAAACGAATGAGATATACACTCTCGTAAATATACGAAATACGAGTAAATGAACATTGTTTTGCCCCCTAAGAAAGTTCAACGTAACGTAAACGTTTTTTGATTAATTTAATGGAAACAAATAAAAACAATAAGTAAATTACAAGAAATTAACTATAAATTCAACAACAAAAAATTATGTTTAACAAAGGAAATTAATGTAGTGTGTAAAAAAACAAAAAAAAATGAGAGAAAAAAGAAAAAAAAAAAACAAGTTTTAAGCAAAACAAAATACTTTGAATATATACATAAATTGCAAGTAAATAGAATAAATGTCACTCACTCTTTTTATTTAACAATTTCATTGATTGACTGGGTTCTTAAGGACTTGACAAAATTTGTAGGAAATGAAAGCTCATTATCTTTTTTTTCGGACATAGGAACCTTTGATTATATTTGATTATATATAGAAGCGGTTATACTTTTATTTGCAATATATTCAAAATTGAATAAGGAAAGGCTGCCCTCCCCAATGTTGGAACTCGTGGTATTATTTCTCCTTAGTTCTGTTTCCTTTTTCGTGGCCCATCTGGAAAAACCAAAGTCCTTTTCCGGCTACAAAGATGCCACATGTCCTATTGTAATGGGTATACTCGCTGCTGGATTGGTGTACAAAAATGTTGGTGTTTCTTTGAAACGTTACCTACTATATTTATCTACTGATTCATAATTCCCCCAATTGCAGCGGTAAGACGACAAGACTTTTTGAAAAAGATGACTTTATTTATTTGCTGCGGACTTCATAAAAAAAAAATGAACTAAAATCATTAAAAAACAACGAATAAATATAATGAAATGTCATGATAGGGGCGGTAAACTGCAATTGGGGAGTGGCTTGAACGAACATTTATTGCTATGATTAGAATGAATCCTACGAATCGATGATGACTACTTTGCTATGCGTCGTCTGGGTGTGGCTGGACTGGTGCCACTGGGCGGTTTCGGGATCTAAACAGAAAAGAATTTCAATTCCATTGGAATTCGACTTAAAAGTTCAGGACTCTCACCGAACGTATGGGCCTGGGTGTAAGGGAATTGGCTGGGGGTGGCTCCCGGGGCTGGGGCCCATCCGGATGTCCCACGACGGTGACGGCCACAGGCCTCTGCTCGGTGCTGGGCCGTTCCATGCTCTCGCTACGGGAGTTCGATCCCGAGCGCTTGAACATTCCAGAGAGACGGCCGCGCAGGTCCTTCTTGCTGGATCTCATGTCGCTGGCAACGCTGATGTCAGAGTCGGATCCTTGAATCTGCCAATGAAGGAAGTATATGACAAATCTGGAATCTCTTCTTCTGGTTAAGGTCCTACCGATATTTCACTCTCGGAATTACGACTGCTTTTGGTCAGGCTGCGTAGCTTGCCCATGATTCCCTTCTTCTTTTTTCGTGGACCTCGTGGTATGTCACTTTGTGTGGAGCCCCCAGACAGACGCGAGTCGAGGCGTGAGTCCAGGCTGGAATCACGCACCAGACCGCCCAGCTCAGAGTCAATGGACTGCATCGAGGACACACTGCCATCGTCCTGGCGCCAAATGTTCTATTAAGTGTGTCAAAACGGATGAGGATTCTTCCTTAAAACAATTTAGATCCTCTGCTTACCTGATCCCTTTGTATGGAGTGGTCCAGCGACAGGCTTTTGCGTATGAGGCTGCCATTATTGCTTGAATTACGGGACAAGCGACCACCGCCCCGCTGGGAGCCCGCCGCACTGGCCACGGAACTGCTGCTGCCATGGTGATCGTTTTCTTGCGAGGCAGCACGTCGCAGATTGCCGCGCCGTATGCGACTGCGCTCCTGCTCATCCTCGTTCAGGCGTTGGAACTTACGCAGCTCCTCGGAGGCCTCGGCCAACCGGGCCAGGACGGTGCTGATCTGTGTACTGCTCAGTGTGGGCGAGGGACTGCGACTGCGGCGCACATTAGGCTGCTCTGGACGCAGAGTGTTGTCGTAGCTGCCTCGTGCCATTTTCAGGTCTGGAGCGATCTTCACCAGCTCGTCGACGGTCTGCAAAAGGGCACCAACTTTGCGATCACCACCATCCGCCTCCATGCGGCGCTTGATCAGTTCCTTCTCGTACCGTTCGCGCTGGAATTAGATAGGAATTTGAAGTGGGAATCATAAAAACTTCCCGAGGAATACTCACTTCTCGTCTTAGCTTTTCATTGGAGGTGCGCAGCTTGGCATGGACATCACGTAATTCGAGAAGATCGCACTGCAGCTCGGCAATCTTCTTGCGTCCCTCCTCCATTTCCTCTTCGGTGGCTCGCTTGATCTGATCTAACTTACGCTTGGACTCTAGCCGCTCCTTGTCCCGCTCGCGTTCAACCTCAAACAGAGTCTGTCGCAGATCCCGGGCCAGGGTGGAGGTCTCTTGCAACAGACGTTGCTGATCCTCCCGCTCCTTCTGCCATGACAACTCCAGCTTGGTCTTCATGCCAGGCAGCTTTGTGCTCCCAGAGCCAATGACACGTTCCTCTTCGAACTCGTTCAGCTTCGACTGCATCTCGGATATCTTGATCTCGTTGGCGCTGCGCTCGGACACCAGCTCCGTCTTGACCTTGCTACCCTCCAGGCGGGACTCCACCAACTGATCCTCCAGATGGCCAATCTATCCAATGGTAAACTCCATTAGAATCTATTTGGAATCGAACTGGGAATGGCTACTCGATTCACCTGCTGCTCTAGGTAAGCAATCTTGCTCTTGTCATCATCGTCGCTGCTGTGCATGGATCCACGGCTCTGTCTACCCGTATTGTTGGCCTTTAGATCACCGATCTTCTTCTGTGCAACCTCTAGCATCTGCTTGAAGGCATCGCGATCTTTCTTGAAGCGTTCACATTGGCGCTATTTTGGAAATAAGTTTTTGTTCAGTTTGATTAACATTCTTTAGGATATATTTGAAACATTTTACCTGCATCGAATTGAGTTCTCCGCTGAGGTTCTTCACTTGTTGCTCGTATCTAAGACGAGTGGTAGCCACCTCGGATTTCATCTGCAGTTCGGTGCTCTGTAATCTGTTCGATGGAAATTATTAACAGACAGGGTCTTGCGACTTCACATATGTACGTATGTATAGTTCTTATAGTTTATGATTTGACAACTTACTTTTCCTTTAGCTCCCTGATCTCTGCATCTCTTCTGGCACCGTGTCCATTGAGCGAGACCTGGGCCTGCTCGATTCGATTGTAGTCGCTCAGTTTGCCATTGAGATCCTCGTTGTCCTTGCGGAGTTGGAACACCAGATCGATGTTCATCTCATTCTCCCTGCGCAGACGTTCGTACTCGTGCTCCTTTTCGGCCAACTTGTTCTTTAGCATGGTACGCTCGTGGTCGCCGTTGTTGCCGGTCTTAAGGGTCTTAGCCTGCAGTTCGGCGATCTTCTTCTGGGCCTCGTTCAACTTGCGGGCCATGTCGGTGCGCTCGATGCGTATGGTATCCATTTCGGACATTTTCTGCTTGCTGGCATTGAGTTCGGCCTGGAGATTCTGCTTCTCGGTGGTCAGCTGTGCCCGCATCAGGATGGTCTCCTCGGAGAGCTTTTCCCAATGGGTGTTGAGGTCCTCGTTGCGCTTCTGCTCGGCGCTGAGCGAAGTTTGGATGTCCTCCACTTGCTTTTTGAGTTCTTGCACCTGTTTGCTGTCCGATTTACTGGCCTTGGTCTTCAGATCCTTGATCTCCTTCTCCAGACTCGATTTAGTCTTATCCGCGGCCTTTTTGGCTGTGAGAAGATCCGTATCCAGCTGGAGGATCTTGGACTCTAGCTTCTCCTTTTCCTTGCCCTGCTTTTCGAGGTCCTTCTCCAGGCTGGACAACTTCTCCTTCTCTCGTTTGCTCTGGGTCTCCAGGGTGGATTTGTTCGTCTCGCTCTGCTTCAGCTGAGTGTCCTGCTTCTTGAGCTTCTCCTCCAGCTCCTTGAGCTTGGTGCTAAGTTTCTTGCCATCCTCATCGCTGCGCTTCAGCTTCTGCTCCAGGTCGGTGACCTTACTGCTTGAGCCATTCAGTAGCTTCAGACGCTGGACATCGCCCTCGGCCAGGGTCAGCTTTTTCTTGCACTTTTGCAGCTCCTCTTCAAGCGATGCTTTGACTGATTCCAGGGCCTTGACCTGATCGGATCCACTCGAACTGAGCATCACCCGCATCTCGCCGATCTCATCCTCCAGCTCTTCCACCCACTTTTTAAGGTGACTCTTCGGGGTAAGGTCGTTGACCCGCTTGGCTGTGCGGGCCGGTAGCTTGGCATCAGCCTCAAGCTGCATCCGCTTCACCCTGGCCGTCAGCTCATCCCTCTCCCGCTGGGCCACCGTTAGAGTCTCCTTGATCTTGGACAGATCCGCCTCGCCCGTCTTCTCGTTGGCCTTGCGTAGGGTTTGTAAACGCTTGTTCTCCTTTGACAGTTTCTCGTTCTCCGTTTCAAGATTGTTCAGTTTGCTGAGCTGCTCCTTCAGAGTGTCCACGGCCTGCTCCTTTTCCTGGAGGCTCTTCCGTAGCTGCGTCAACTCTTCGTTCAGGGTTTTCAGTTTCTTTTCGGCCGCACTGGAGGAGGAGGTGCCAAAGCTGAGAAGCGCGGATTTGCTGCCATTGGAAGAAGCAGCCTCCGGCCGCAGTTTGGCCTGAAGTTCGCGCACATACTTCTTTGACTCCGCATTCTCCTTCTCCAGATCCTCCACTTTGAGACGCAGTATTGAGGCCTCCTGCTCGTTGAGCTCCAGCAGGATACGCAGTTCGGCTGGATCATCCTCGTCTGAGATGCCTTCATCCCGATCCGCATGCACTTCGGGCGCCAGTCGATGGGGATGTGGTGTGGGACTCAGCTTGCGAGCTGCAGGGGAGCACACAATATACATAGATTAAAAGATATTCCATTTAGTTAGTTGGTTTAGTTAGTTGGATGCTTTATTTAGTAACAACACTAATTAATGAGCAGCCGCAAAAAATGGCAAAAATATTACTGCATCAGCGCCAATGATCCATTAAAAAAGCGCATGAGAAATCACATTAGTTTTGTTAGGGAAACGTTTTTCGTTCTTTCAAGTTAGAAATTATTGTACTCTATAAGGGGGGGAGTCCCAATACAATGCAGCTTTGGTCACTCTAATTTAAGAGCTTTTGGCGTGACTGCAGCTTGAAAGGAAATGAACGAGATATTTATCGTTTAAATGAATAATTGGTTTTTTGGATTAACTTTTCTATAAACTAAGGTTTAGTACTTAGTAAGAGAGAGTTACTAGTGTGTGTTTTCGGTTCGTACTTCTTGAGCGCGTTGCCATTTTTTTCAACTGCATCATCAACGACTCATTTTCATCCTCGAAACGAGTCACCTTTTTCCTCAGATGTTCAGCCTGAAACACAAAAATCTCGGATCATTTATTGCATCTGAATGATAAGGAATAAGGTTATAATACGAATAAAGAGATCGTTTTCGAGGATCAAAATAGTTTTGCTACATAAACGAAAGCTCGGATGGAACATAGACTGCACTACTGCTAGGAAAACGAGTACGTAAATAAATAATCAGCAATGGATTGTCTGGACGGATCTTCTGGAGATCTTCTACCTGTTCCATTCAGAAGAACATGCGAAATAGCACTGGGGAAGAGCAGAGAACGCGAGTGCCCCACTCTGGAGGATGTTGAGGGTGCAAAGAGCGACACAAATGGCGACGGAGTCGTCTCCCGTTCGCACGAAGCATTTCTCGCTATCGATTCGAAATCGGTTTGACTGTGAGCCTCAACCGAGAGTCCG